AGGGTGGTGCAGCGCAAGCCGCCCATGGTCCCTCTGTAGGCGCAGGCGTCCTGTGGCTGACCACAGTGACAGGCAAATCCGAAACCGGATGCCGCCAACCATATGTACGATACCCGGCTACATACCTTTTAGGAAACATTTTCTTCTGGAAATTAGTGGTCCTACAAATATGCTTTCCTGCATTGTGGCTTTACTATATTTTCGATCCAAATGTTGCGAAAGACCATTGTGTTTTGTGCAACAGAAAAGTGCTCACCTCAGAGAGTGTCACTCAGGATACTGATAGACCTCGTTGAATTCATTCTCATCTATGATAGGATTTTACATTTTTCAAATGAGAAGTATTTGCACTGATAACTTCGTGCATAGATGTATCGGGCTTCTTTTCAGTCAACTGATGCTGGCCTTGATTTTTCTTACCGCACTGCTCTTTGAATCGCCCTAAACAAAGAAAATCTAATTTATTAAGAGCGGGCTTTATCAAACGTTGCATACTGGATTTTTTTAAGCTGGTTTTCGGAGAGCAGCATGCGGGAAATATAAGTGTATCGCCTTCTAACGACACCATCAAAAGTCGCATCCAGATGAGAAACAATAATATTTTGAACACGGTGCTCCATGAAGTAAAGACTAGTCTTTCTTCGTACCAAATTAGTTGAGCCAGTCGATGTTGCATGTTGTTTCGAGCTATTTGTCTATGCTCGGTACGTAAAATGCGACAACTTTAAAGTAGAGCACTTGTTCTCAGAATCACTGAACCCTACTGCACATGCCGGAGATGTCTTCCGAACAATGAAGAATTTTGTCTAGTAAAATGTGTTGCAGTAGTCGAAGTTGGTGAGTGTCTGTACTAGCAAAGCGCCATCCATGTTTGGCGTTCGTTCCGGCCGGCGGCCAACTGGTCTGCACGCCTGGATTGCAATCATAAAGTCACCAGTTTGAATTCGCGTAGGCGTGGGCGTCTTCCCGGTATACTCAGCCCGCGGGTGACTGATGGTAGTCGCGCGGCAGCGAAGCGCAGTTACGGCGTACAGCTGACACATCGTTCGTTCTGGATTGCAAACAATAGTCAAACAAGTTGTGCTCCGCACGCTACCTTTAGTCACTGCATTATACATCGTTATGCTTTATCAGTGAAAACTCTTCCACCTGTTTTACAGGATGCATTTACGCGTGTAGGGAAAATTTTCTCATACGCGGTAGTGCGACAAATACAAGTTTCCAAAGAGTTGTGCCATGAATTTGAAGGTAGATTCGGCTTGCTGTTATTCCACACAGAAGCGCGTTGGCTATCACAAAGCAAGGTCTTGCACTGATTGCTTGAACTTCGAAAAAACTGCTGTTTCTGAAAAGGAAAGAGATGCATGGAGATAGGGAAAACAGGTTTCACGCCATAACAACATACTATGTATTTATTTCCAGTCTGAAAATTTTTGCGGGTTTCGAAGAAATAAATACACTTAACCTCCTTTTGCTGAAGAAAATGACGAAGATTTTAACGGTTCGGTATAGGGTTGTCAGTTTTTTTCGCAATTTGCAGCTTTACAAACGCAGAGCTGGTGTTTATGACGTTCCGATATTCCCAGAACTCGCAATGGTGATCGTTGGAAGAAATGAAAAATGCACATTCACAGATCAAATTACTCTCCGCTTGTCATCAGTGGTGCATTCTACTAGCAAATACTTCCCTGATTTGAAAATTGTCAAGTAAATGCTTGGGTGCTAAGACACTTTTCAGTGGATGAAAGAATATTTCCAGATATCGAAATTAAAACCAGAGCACAATTCCTAGGAATTCACAATAACAACACACTTACAATATATTTCATAACACACAACCAGCAACATCTTGGCCAAAGATTGGCGGCGAATATCCAGTGTTATTAAAAAGCCTTGAGAATACCGATCCTATTTGTCACAACTTATAGGTGCGAAGATGGATTTTCAATAATGGTGACCATGAAAACGAAACTACTGAACCCAGTAGACTTGGAGCTCAAGTTAAGATGTGCATTAACCGAAACCGCAACAAACATACCAACACTTGTCAGAACTACGAAGTATCAACCTTCCCATTCACGTAAATCACCTCTTGATATAATAAAAACATTGCTCAAAAACAGGTGTTTTCTTTAGTTGAATGGTCGAACGTAAATAAAAATAATGTTTCTTTTCCGTAATTTAAAGCAAAACCTAAATCTAGTGAGTATTTAACTATTTAAAATAAATTTTTTTGGGTACTTGTTTATTTTGAACCTGCCTAGTGGGTAACATCTTCGAAAGGTTGAGAACCACTGAATTAGACAAATAAACTTAGCAGGGCATCAAAACTTTTAGGGAATCAGCCACAGGGCCTCGCCCTTCACCGTATCGAACGCTTTGGTGAAGTCGACAAAGCGAAAACAACGGCTCGTTGCTTCCACGACATTTCTCCTGCAGTTGACGCGTGGCGGACACCATACCGATGGTGCCTCGGCCCGAGCGAAAGCCACATTGTCCTTCAAGCACGTCTGGTTCCAGGATATGTGTCACAAGGCAGTTAAGTAGGACGCACCTAAGCGATTTGATGCCGCAGTTATTATTGGTGCATTGATTGCTGACCTTTCTCTGGTACAGTAGATGCATAAGGGCATCGTTCAACTCCGCAAACACTTTCACTTCCATCCCGACGGCTTCCACCAAGAAATGGAGTACGAGCATCATAGCTAGTCTGCCGTTCCCCAATACCGGCGGTATACCGTCAGCACCGGCACATTTCTCATTCCGCAGTTAAGTAATCGTCCTTAGTGTTTCACGCATTCCCGGAGTGTCCTCAAGTTCACATAGTACGCCGCGGTATTGCAACCCCAGATAGATTTTTCGAGAGGGTATCAATGTGTCTGTGCCACATCTGCAGGACGTACTCAGATTATGCATAAACAGCGCCCGTCATCTTGCCCTTCGGGGTCTTCATCGGCTGTACGGTTGGCCCATACGTTGCCTTCAAGAAGTCATTGAAATCATTTTGCTGATGGCGCTCAGCGTAAGATTTCGCCTGCTTCGCTTTCATTGTCCACCATGTGTTTTCGATCTGACGCGAATCTTGCGCAACTTAATTCTGTTCGCCGCATTGTTATGATCATCCTCGGATGTAACGAATGCAGCGATTTTATCTCGTACCAACGTTCTAATCATCGTACTGTTCTCGTCGAACAAGTCGGGCCGCTTACAGTTTGTGCCCCCTATCGTCTCCTCTACAGCAGTGGTCGCCTGTTACTTTCAGTGGTCCTATAGAACGCCGACCGAAACTAAGGAGTCAGCTTGGCATCCTCCATCGCTCGTAGCTTCGCTTCACTGGAAAGAGCGCGTATGTTGCACTTCTGCCGATTGGCACTCGGTAAAGAGTACGACGATTTGCAAACATTTATGTAGAACTTGGTGCACACCATCTTGTGATCGGTCCCACATTCTGCTCCAGGCAAAACCCGCACTATGCGCACTTAACGCATGTTCCGTTGACTTAGTCCAGCAAATGAGCATGGCCACTCTGGTTGCGTCCATGCAGCAATGTCACTGGCACACAGAGGGAACTCAGTATTCGCGATTGTCAAGCCGCATGTGGCACACAAAAAAGCAAGTGCTCTCCGTTTTTGTTGGCTACCGCAATTCCATTTGGCCCGACACCTTCAGCCTACACGATGACACCAAGCCAGACCCGTGCAATGAAATCATCCAGTGGAAATAATCGGTCAGTCTTTGTCCTTGGGGAGAGATGGGGACAGGGACAAGCTAGGGTTGCTAAGGAACCCGGGAAGCAGCGCGTAACCAATAGTCGGTAAGTTTTGTTTAGGCACCCTGCTGTATTTAAAAGATAGGGTGACATCTAAACCTGGATTGCTCGACGGAGAGTGTCAGTGGAGAGTGCTGTTATTTTACTTAGGAATGTGCATACTCAGCAGCAATACTAGATTTACGTTTGGAAGGTTACCAATGGATGCAGGAACTGGTTCTAAGAGCTAAAAATGGTAGAAAATGCATGACAAATGGGAGAACATGTGGGAATACAAGTTGAAATACATGATTGAATTGAAGTGTCGGCACAGAGGTGTTAGTCCCAGTTGTATAACAAACGAAACAACCGCCACAAAGGATTTATTGTCAGGATAGGCAGTACAAGACAAACCAAGTAGTGGGCGCGATGTAATACGCTGTTGCTTTAGGCGTGAACGAAGATTACAGTGTTACATTAAGTTTGAAGGTTTTCATCAACGATAGCTTGAGATAAATAATAGAATAGCGAGACAACTAACATCGACACTGGTACAGCGTGAGGTAATGCGGAGGTAAAATCACAGTAGAACAATGATGACTAATTATTAGTGGGTATCGTACATGCACTCCCCGGTGTGTTAGCTAAGGCTTACATCGACATTCATTCGTCGTTACTGGGCTTCTTCAGTTGAGTTCTTAATTTTATTATTGGTTTACTTCAGAGCTATCGGTATGACATCATCATTTATTGTGAAGTAATGCAGTGTGTGTGCATCTGAAGAGCTAAGTACCACGTGGATCGCATTTCGATTTCACCTAATGAGCGGCTATTTGCGGTTAGGCTTCTCTTCTGACATTTAAACGACTTGGTCTCTTCATTTCACGCTTATTTTTTCACCCGGGACACCGAATCAGTTGCCCTTGCACGCAACATAGCCCCAATGTGGAACATTTATCTCATTTCTGTTAGTTGCATTGTTGTTGGTTATTATGACATCAAAGAAACCCGCTACTCATTTCCAACGGCGACAGCTCTTCATATCTGTGTTTACTATTCACTCGTTATTGGAGATGAGGATTTCTATAACTTTTTCTCTCCCATATTCCGATACCAGCTAGTTTTAGTTCACCCCTTAATGCTCATGCACCAGTGAGGTTGTTCTTTGTTGCACTAGTTTGTCATTGTTGTTTTGTTTAATGACCCCTCTACCCTCGTCGACTTCTCTCAGGCACTTGGCTTGGAGGTACAAATGCTCCCTGGTGTGGGGCCGAAGTTCACTAAACCTCTAAACTCGGTGGAAGATTTGGATCGTCTAAACTGGTCCGTTGATGTGCGCAAAGAGCTATCTTATGTTTACGAAGCGATCACGCTGACTCGGCATCGTCTTGAAGGCAAGGTGCCCTTGATCGGATTTTCCGGTGCACCGTGGACCCTAATGTCCTACATGATAGAAGGTGCTGGCTCAGCGACGCAGTCGAAGGCCAAGCGTTGGCTCTACGTACAGCCGGATGCCAGCCACCGTCTGCTGTCTCTTCTCGCGGACACTGTGACATCCCACTTGGTGTATCAAGCAGTCGCCGGTGCGCAACTATTGCAGGTAAATTGCATTCTTCCAGTATTTTTCACTGTCAACGCAATCTCTCCAGGCGTGACCATCATTAGATGTAGGTCGGCCGGTGGCCGAGTGGTCTGCACGTTTGCTTTGCAACCATAAGGTCACCGGTTCGAATCCGCGTATGGGTGGGCGTCCTCGCGGTATACTCAGCCCGCGCGCGACTGGTGGTGGTCGCGCGGCAGCGAAGCGCCGTTACGGCGTATAGGCTGACACATTATTATTATTTATTATTATTATTATTATCATTAAATGTGTGACCAGTTAAGAGTAAGGCACAATAGACCAAGCACACCATCGACTTCACGATTACACGCTGTCAGTCGTATTCATGAGGACAACTCGTCTCAACACAGCCTGATCATTTTTTATTCCCTTTTGTTTCGCCCTTGCCTGCTCTTCCCGTGGTTTCACGTGACTGGACACTGTGTAGGCCAGCAGCACACACCGGGCTACTCTTGGTAGCAAGCTGACAGATGGCATAGTGCTAACAGCGCATGCGGTCCAATTCTAATAACTACTCCAGTACATCGTCAAAGCGTCTGCTGCAATCGACGGATCTTGATATCCTTCACCCAATGGCGTTGACAAGTACGAGTACTATGTCAATGACCCTGGTGCTTAGATACTGCCAATCTTCCAATATTTCCAGTGTGCAGTAGCATTGTATGTGTTTCCTGCAGTGACCCTGGACACAGTACAACCTTGCACATACTCCCTTGGTCAATGGGTTGGTACCCCACCCTATTCACATATAATTGCGGCTCCGGAAATAGCACTACCTGTGATCAAGTACTGTCGTCAGTAACTCAACTGTTAGAAGTGATCCAACTAGCTGGATATGTGAACCGATCAAACCACTTCCATTGTCTTTTCGGCGGTGTTAAGAGTCGGTGGCTTGTATCGAGTAGCCTTCCGTTAATCAGAACACAGGTTGTGTAGCAACCAAAACCCATTTCCGCAAACAAATTAATCACTTTTATCATACACCTCTCCTGTTCGTTTTCGTGAACTCGTCATTGTTTTCATCCCAGGTCATCGTTTTGCCTTCTATTAGGCAAATTTTGCTCTTTATCTGTCTCCATTGATCCGGTGCGGTTCATTCTAGATTTGGGTGACTTTCAAATCTGGTTGAACCAATTCTCAGCTGCCTATTCAAACGCTTTGGCGTTTCTTGATTTGGTAGATTTCCACAAACCACATCCTCATCGTTCCCATGGCTTACGCAGTAATTAACCATTGTGTCTGCACTTCAGTAGTGTCTTGAACTGTGTAGGTATGAAGTACTCGTCAGGTCGTGGGCACCGTGTTAAACAATGCTTGCATGAATGCTGAAGCCTGCCACGATGGTACCCCGGTCTTCCAGTCGGCCACTAGGTGGAGCTTACACTCCACTTGTAGCAACCAGCACAGCCGTTTCCACCATAAATTAAAGTGGAAAGGAAAACATTGGTGACGCGGATACACTTCCTCAGTCATCTCAGACTCATGTAAGGCCTTCACATGACCCCGGAATTTGCAGTATAGAGACTTTGAAAGTGTTACAGAGTTTCCTTAAGCAATGTAGCGTCACATGGTGTCCCAAACTAAATCAAAAGCGATTTTCTGACTAAAAATATAGCCTTAGCATGTTTTTTATATGTTTGGTTCTGTTCGGACACTTGGGAAATGCCGCTATGTAATTCGCACAATTCTAATGGGCACAGAAGCCAGATTGCTTTTATTGCTTAGAGGATCGCAGTTCCCCACTGTACTAAAGTTTGACCACTCCATCGCACTCCACTTCTTTGACCTTAGGCGATTGTACTCCCAGTCCAAAGTGTGCCTCATTTCTTGTCAATGAAACTGTAGTTCGGTTGCAATTGGTCACTGCCCCGTGATGTGAGCCTAAAACATCATGGGTTTAACACCAGCGCATCCTGCTACCTTAGACAAACGAACCCTCTTTGGTAATGCACTACTACCAACTAAACAGCCTTGCTGCGCTGCCTTAGTCTGTTGATCTTTTCTTAATGGAGTGGGGTTGTAGCCGAACTGCCTCTCGCTCATTTGATCTCAGGTTGGATACTGGTAATATATCTAATAGATGGCCACCACGAGTGAACGCCGCAATACGTTTTCGGAACACTAGCCTGGCATGCCGTAGCTCACGCGGGAAGATGACTCACTCAGTTCACAATTCACGACAGAGGTTTCCATGCAATCCAGAGCTGTTGACCGAGCCAGTTCACCATCGCCGCACGGGTTGCTATGGTACGGACGTGATCGTAGCTACAGCCGGCCAGTGAAGACCACTACCAGAGTTGAATCTGTCCAGACAAGCGATGTGATTCACCTCAGTGACAGACCCGCGAAGTAAGAGCATGTGACCTATAAATTTAACCGTGTTCTGTTCCTCATGTACTTCGGTCTAACAGGCTTCGGTGTTTGGCTTTTGTCCCTGGCTGGGTTGGCGTGGAGAAAAGCTGAGGGTGGGCATTGTATCTATTAGGAATCCGAGCGGCCAATAGCGCACTGGCCCGATTATGTCTTTGCATCGGATCGGCATCCTTGACCTCACCGTTTTATTCTGTGGAAACGGTACCCAATACTTCAGGAAGCATTTCGATACGTTTCACCCAATCTACTGAGTGTAACATGGTATTAAAGAGCGGTGAGGTTCTACCTATAGCATTCAACTCTCCTTGCTACTCCTCTGTAATCAGTACGCAAACAAAACGGCTTATAATGCCGTAAACTAATTGGCGGCTTAAGTTTAGTAGGTTCGTCGTTCGGTGAGTGGACTACCCTGTTTTATGCATATTAGTAACGTGTAGGTCAGTGGATAGTGAGCGGCGCTGTATCACATGGTCGTTAACGTCCCCCGTTGCTCAGCGGTCTCAACCGCGGACTGGCAACGGTCGGGTTGCAGGTTCGATCCCTTCAGCGGTCAGGTGAAATGCGCACTGTTGACGATTCCCGAAAGGAAGAAACGGCCGTACAGTGCTTTTCCGGGCATGTATGACTGCCTGACTGAGTTTGGATGTGATGAATTTCCGCTGACACTACTCATTATCACTCAGTAATCGGGCAAGTAGTAAATGGCGTTGCTTGTCGGCCTTCTTGCTTAATTCGTGTGTGCTTTTTCTGGAAAGTACCGTATCTTACTGTGTATAGGCCGATCCGTATATAACCCGACAGTATGATCTTGCAACGTCAGATTTGTCCAAATTCTAAGTCCGTACATTAGCCGACCCAAAAAAATCAGCAAACTGAGAAACGAAATGGTTTCTCACGATTTTGACTCTATCACTTCCTGCTCTCACTCGAGTGTGCTCCAGCGAAAGCTGCTCTACTATTGGCCAGTGCTGGCGACCTAGTGTTATGATCGCAGTTCATGGGGCTTAGGGCCGTCAGAGCAGTGTATTGGTTAGATGTCAAGTCAAACGAAACAGTTAGTACAGCCGACAATATGGGGTAAAGTGTAAGGGTATGTTAGCCAACGCCTTGCATATTCGGGGGCCTCATGTATCTGAACTGCAATGGGGCAGCGGGTGAGAGGGAAGTTCACGATCAGTGGTGTGGGACGACGTTGTACTTTTCATGCACCAGATTGATTAGCATAGCATAATGTGTAAGCGCTGTGATTCGCTAACCATAATAGCACTAACTCGATGTCATACGATCCATCTGAGGGAATGTGCCCACATCTCGTGCGATCTTCCCGAGCCGTGGGAACATGAAAAAAGTCTGGACAGAAGCGATGTACCTATGCTGCTAACTTTACCTTGAAAGTTATCGCGTTTACCGAGCGATCTAATAACTGTATGGCTGCATGCCATTTCACAGTGAATGAAAAGCGTGAGAAAATGGCGAAAGGAAAAGTCAGAATCGTCACAAATGCCTGTAGGCAAGAGAGCAACACGCTGTAGAATAACCAAATTTCCTGCACTGGAAGAAAAGTTAGCGCAGTGGCTTAGGGGTCACAGCACAGCGGATCAATTGTTACTCAAACAAACCTTCGGATCAGGCGATCACAGTGTTAAGTAATCCGGAATTCCATCCATCAAAACTGGTAAATTTTGTTGCTTCCTCCGGATGGTGCAATCGTTTTATGAACCGATTCGACATGGACCCACACAAAAATAGTCCATAAACTGCCGAAGGAATTGGATAGTGAAGTTGAATCTTTTCAAAGATTCGTGATTTAGCTGAGAAAGCGATACGACTTTGAAGTGTCCCAAACAGGAAATATGGACGAGACGCCCATGTGCTTTGATATGCCTTCAAATCTCACGGTGGAGCAGAAAGGTGCTAATACAGTTATTATAAAGAGGACGAAACACATAAAGACTTTTCACAGTTGTTTTAGGGTGTATGGCGGATTGTTCCCGTCTATCACTTTTCATTATTTTTAAGCGTAAGACGCTGCTTATAAGAGCGAAGTTCCCAAGCGGCGTATTTGCGCGGGCTCACGCGAAAGGATGCGTGGACGAGAGTGGCACTGTAAACTGGCTGAATATAGTTAGGAGAAAGCGAAGTGGTGCCCTTTTAAAGAAATCATCCATGCTGGTTTGGGATTCCTTTAGGGCACACCGAACTGAGAACGTAGAGAAACGATGCCGTGAACTAAATTCGTCCGTGGCTTTAATTCCTGGTGGACTTACATCAATATTGTACCCATCGGATGTCTGTCTCAATAAGCCCTTTAAAGATAGACTTCGGTCCAGGTGGCTTGCATGGATGGTATCATCTGATTTAGCGTTGACGAAGTGCGGCAATGTGAAAAAAGTTGCCGTGGTTACAATTGCAGAGTAAGTGAAAGAAGTGTGTCTGGATATTCCATCAGAAAGTATCCTACGATCATTCAAAAAGTGCTGCATCAGCAATGCCATGGATAGAAGTGAGGATGATGCACTCCTTGAGGAATACGACAATGAGGAGAGCAGTGAAGTTGTAGATGACGATATTCACCCTGAAGTCCCAATGACAGACGACCAGTACCAGAAACTGTTTGGAGATCCTGACGGATTCTAGTTTCAAATGATTCGAGTAAATTTAATACCACTGTGCGGCGTTTGGATATGTGAGCCTATAAAATTTACTGGTGCGTGCTGTTCTCTCATATCTTTTTCTAACGTTATTGTGTGTGTTGGTGTTCGATTCTGTATAAGCAATCTGTCTTTGTTACTGCCATCCGTTGCAAAAGTTAACTGTACAATATACGGAGGATTTTCGTCCAACATAGTGTGTTTACCTATAGGCACTTCAAATCCCCTCCCGGGATACCGTCTGTCGCTAGCGAGTGATGCTAAGGCAAGAGAGGGGCATAGGTGTGCAGTGAATTTCTGTATGGATTTCACATGTGGTTTCTTTTCAAATTGCGCATAACCTTTGTATAAGTCCTACACCTTCCCCACTACCGACGTGGAAACTTGTCCAATATTCCTCGGCTTTACACGGTAATATACGGTAATTTAACCTACCACAACATTTCAATTCATGAACCCCCTTATTAGTTCAAATACGGTCATCTTGCACAAGCTTCATGCTCGATTCACATGGGCATCTGGTGCTTTCCGGGGCATTTTGTCACTCTTGGCATGGGTGATGCAGTTGAAATTAAACGCACCTATATTTCCTCTGGATCGGTCGTACTGCATGTGTTAGGAATCCGATCGAAACCGATGCCGTTTTGCCCGATATTATGCACTTTGACGGTCCTGCATGCTCCAGTTTATGTTAACCCTATCTAGCCATTCCCATGTTCTACTTGCTTGCCTACTCACTTCACAGATCTTCGAATCCCATGCCGGTGTCCTCACCTCTTCACTATTCAGCAAGTTTTCTCTTCCGTATCTCGTCCAAATTATGCACGCTGTACGTAACCGTTTGATTGAGGATCACGGATTCAGACCGGATCAGCTACCGCCGTTGATTGTGTTCGCTAAGGATGCACATTATGCCCTGCAAGAATTGATAGACAGTGGTTACGATGTGGTCAGCTTGGATTGGACAATTTGTCCCACACACGCCCGCACTTTGGCCGGGAATAAGGTGACGCTGCAGGTCCGTCATAATCCCATTCCACTCTTGTCTCCTGGTTCTCCCCTCTTATTCCTCGTATGATTGACATACGTTATAAATATGAACCCTAGGTTTATGCCTTTTATGGTGCGTGCCACGTAATTAGCTTTGTTATTGCATCGGGTTCGCATTTTGTGTATCTGCAACTGAGTCGAGCAAACTTCAGGGCTTTTAGATCTGTACTTACTGTTTTCTTTTTGGTACCGCTTTTCGCCATCTACTGATTTCTCGATTCTCCCCACTTGTTTTCAACATTTGATTTGGCTGAAAAACTACTGACACAGTTTGTTATCTTATTCTGTCGATCCTCTTCTTCCCTTATTATGGGATAATTCACAGAGATTGTATTTTGGGAAATGTGGCTAAGAACTTAAAAACACGGATTCTTTCTCAAGAAAGTCATTAAACTCGCATTGAAAACCATGTTGCTGATCAAGTTGGTTTTAACTCACTCTCCTGTCAGCAGAACATAATTCCTGCTGTTTCTCTCGAGCAATATGCGGTCGTATCGAGCGACGCTATTGGCGCTTTAAGAGTTAGGTTCGTTGCTACTTAGGTGTTGGTCAAACTCAGGTCTCCTGGTTTCCTGAATTGGGTTTTACTCATAATGGCCCTTATTACTGCTAATCGGATTCACTGGATTGGCAATTGCCTTATCTTCACTTCTTCGTAGTCAGTCGAAATTGGATCGTCCCCTTAACGAAGTTCGAGCACTCTAATATTATCTTAACCCACACACGGTTATGCCTCTATCCTCACATTTATGAATCACACTGTATTTTCCCCTTCGCGAATTTTCAAACGGACCACCTTATCCTTGCATATATCTGGGCAGATAAGCGAAAGCAGTCCACCACTAATCTCTCTCCCCTTTCTCTTCCTCTTGCTTATCCTGCTTCCCTCTCAATGCCACTTGCTGACTTTCCTGGGATCCCCAGTGTGTGGGTGAAGACACCCGCGGTTCTGCTAAACTTTTATTCTGCACCTTTGTCACCAGAGCGCTCAATATTCTCCAGCCATCACATACTCGTTATTCAGCTACGCTGTCCGATTTCCCTGGCATCGCTCATTGTTCGTACCGTAAGACGTCATCATGCCGCATTTGCGCGCACACCGGATACCGCTTGTGCGGCGGACCGGAAATCAGAATAAGCCAATCTGAGGTGGATATCAGACCATTTGCACTTAGCTCACGCGCTCGCTACTAGTTGCTGATGTAACAGCCACACGTCAGGCCAGGATGAGTATTATTCCCAACTTCAGAGCTTAATTGGCGTCTCATGTACAGCCCGTTATATAACGTCAATTAAGAGTAGCGCACGAAGCAGCACTGAGCCGTTCTTTTGTGCTTATCACTTGAACCCCGATCAAATGCAGTCCTGACTCTTCCAGTAATGCTTTCTGCCACAAATTTGGCGCGATGCTTCGTAGTGCTGCCAACTCAGGGTGTACGTTCGCATCCTTAATTCATCAATGTAACTGCTACTACCCATTTACAAGTAATATACTCTTACTTCACATTTGTAACCACATCAATTGAATGGGCTGCCACCATTGGTTGCACTTAGAATCTGTTAACTGGCGAACTCCCTATTTTCCATTTTTCTCTTCGTCTTTATTTTATAACTTACTGTTTATGGATATCTACTTGTATAGCACAAATATCCAAACGCTTTGCTTTAACGCGCCACATAGTACGCAATTGAACGGGCGCATACTGTTTGAACTGAAAACGCCGAATCATTTTTGTATATAATTGCGAGTTTGTTCACCTGTTTCTACGATATACGTTTCCATTTTACTTCACATTCACTCATGTATAACCACAGTCACTTCAGTACAATTAGCTTTGCCCCTCATACTTAATTTTTACAGTCCAGACTGTGCATTTAGATAGATTACGTCGATTCACCGTTAGACAGCGATTTCTGTTGTAACAGTATAAATGCGCAAGCAAGCTGTCTTAGCTCAGTTAAGTGGAGAAATTTACCTTACCTCCAAACACACGGACAGTAACGAATGTGTGTTGTAACTGTGCACGAAGCACTAGCTGTTCCTTAGAAACACCGCTTGGTTACAATGCGCGCCGTCGTACTACGTGGCATCCTCCGGTAACTGTATAGCGATAGAACTGAATAAACCACTTTACTACGGACTTCAGGCGGCGCTTATCCAACTTCGACTACTGTTCGTTTTAGCATACCTGCACCGACTCTAGCCATGTTCTGGTACTATGTCAACTTTAAATGGCCTTCACCGGGTAGCATATCTAACGATTTCTTCCAATTAAAACCCAGATACGGTCTCAGTCTACGAACAGGTAATCTTCGCATAATTAGCTGCATATTTGGCTTCCTCTTACTTAATCTATGGACGTCTGTGCTTGGCACTGCAGTTTCTGGTTTAAGCTTTATCAGTCCTTAGTGCACTGGATATCAAAGAGCAGTGAATCTGTTGTATCCAGAAGAAAAATCCCTGCTGGCCTTGAGTGCTGTTTGGCCTGACGGCTACCAAGTTCGAACTTAAATGGATTTCGCAGATTTCCAAAGAAGCGGAGTCAGAAATGCAGGCTGAAGCGGTCGATAGCTTTTGCAGACTAATCCACCTGATCCGCATCACTGATATTAGGGACTCGTGAATCGAAGAAACATTCAGGGACGATAACTGCGCTACGATTTACATTAAGAACTTCCGTTTGGCTCGATGGAGAGAGCATTTTCGGCAAAGGTTCAATCGACCCCATACTCTTTGATCTTCAAGTGATGCGGGTGGTTAGTCTGTATCCGCTTTGTTTTGGTACTGCGTCAGTTATTTTCGGATCCTCTTGCGCTCCAACTGTTTTCTGAACATGATAGCAATATTAAACAATGGTGGTCACAACAGGTGTGTCAACCACAAGCATGGCAGCTTCTCACCGGTTATCACAGTTCTTGACCCATTCTCATCCGCTGTTCTGTGTGGCCCGGGGACCCTGGACAAGAAAACGCGTGCGGGTTTCCAACCGGGTGGGGGTGTTTACATCACATTTTTACACCGTGGCAGATGATAAGGTGGTGTGAACTATACCACAAGTCGATGACAGCTGTGCTCTTCGATTCCAAGAGATCATACGGCTTAACCGGTTGCTCAATTCTGTTTAATTTACTCTGTCAGACAGCGGTTCCCCTTGCAGACATGTGAGCGTATACTTGTGCTGTACTAAAACATCCTGTCGCACAGAATTTATGGCAGGCTGCGTGCTGCATTCCAACTAATAACTAATGTCCGTCAGCATTATCCCATCTTCGCAATTCTATTCCATCTCATCACGGACTGTATCACAAGTTATTCCTTTGCAGGGCCTCCAGATGCACGTAGTGAGAGGAGGCCTGAAAGAGAACTTATTGATCTAGATCTCATCTATGACATGGTCATGTCGCATGGCAACCGCAGAACACTACTTCCACAATCGGACTCACTTCCCAATGGGGTCTCATTCCTTGTTATATACTGCATACCCAAAGCGCAAACTGCTGCTGCTGCTGCTGCTGCTGCAGAACCACCGGCCATTTTATCGCCCATGGTTCCTGACAAAGAACTACTTCATGTAGTTGCCCAGTGTAGCTCTATTGGTAAATGAAATAACTCCACATATTTCATGGACCTGTGACGTCTCTGGCGTCAGAACGAAACTTCAAATGCTCTTTATGGCCCCTCGCACACACCACTCCAATGCGGGCCACCCTACTCCGCGGTAATAAAACGGTCTCTTTGCCATCACTGATTGCGGACCACTGCTCATGTCGTGTGGCAGCGAGGATCAGGTTGCCTGATCAGGTAACCAATCAAACTAAATAACTTTCGATGGTTCGTGCAGTCACTGCGTATGCCCAATCACTGTTTACCATGGACGGCTTGGTTTTATATTGTGGCTCTAAAATGACATGAGGCTCAAAGCAAAAACGTCTACTTGACAGTAGTTACTGGGGTCGCACGCCGTTAGTTCATCTCGTTTTTCAGGCTGGAGTCCATGTGATCCATCTTGTGCTCGTTCAAAATCCCACTAAGCATGGCTGGTATCGGTGGCGAATTTACCGTTTTTCCCTAACTTGCTGCTTCTAGAATGTGCATCACAGTTATCTATGGCGTAACTTTGTTTATGGACTGACGTGGTGAGGATTGCAGAGAAACCGACTCGCCTACTCCATTTTATATCCAAAAAGCAACCAGCTGTTTGTGATGATACATTGGTAGTAAACTGTAGGTGCCTTATTACCGGACATTTACTTATAGCACGTGGGTTTCACAACAGATCCCCCTTTCTCTCCCTTATGATTCCTGTCTACTTGGATAATTGTATTTGTATGGCAATGAGCAACATTACCACATGATGATGATGATGTTTGGATTTTGCCACCTAATCTCATAATCTTGACCATGATTCACTTAGAAACAAACTTCGCTTATTTCGATCGATTAATCTTTATGCAGTACAATAGATGCTACTATTTCAAAACCGTGCTATACCTAGATCAACACTACATTTCTGTTCAATGTTCCAACCATTAGTTACGGAGCTCAGTGGCCTGGCAATGGAAGTCACAACGTTACTTATTCTATTTCAAGCCTAGGAGTTCACATCACCATGGAAGACTGGCCATTGGATGCCGTTTCTGGAGCTCGCAACACCAAAATTGTTTACTGTTGAATTGATACATCCGTTCGTACCATTACACAGATCTCCCATCTGCCCATGTCTTTCGTTTGTTTGTAGGGCAACCTTGACCCGTGCGCACTGTACGCACCCAACTCCGAATTGCATGACCTTGTGGTGGACATGCTGCAAAAATTCCAACCCCATCGCTACATAGTGAATCTTGGCCACGGTATCTATCCGGATGTAGATCCCGAAAAGGTCAAAACGCTTGTCGACTTGGTTCATTCTTTACCGGCTGCCTCTCCTGATTCTGACTCAGACAAAGCGCCTTCACCAATACCCTGTGAGGTCCACGACCTGCCTTGTATTTCTGTCGCGAATTAATCAGCATCCCTAGGTATATTTGATTTTTTCTGAACTTGAAGCTTGTGACGTGATTCTTTTTCACTTATCTACTAAAACGCTCTCACTTTAACCTCTATCGCGTAGTTTAGCAATCGACGACACTAGCCCCGCTCCCCTTTCACAATGTCTGTCTGATACTGCGCATCGTTTATTACAGAGAAATTCACCGTTATATCCTTATAGCTGCGTTCTACTTGACCTTTCCTGTATGATCCGAGAATAGCATTTTCCGTCCCATGAAATGAGCAAGGGTGACGGAGCAATTATCTGACTTCATCTTACTAACACGCTGGCGTGGCTAGTTGCATCGGACAGCCACATACATTCCGCTTCATCTCCGTATATCAAACTATCTCAGGGAGACCGAACCACATTGTGGTGCGATGGTTTGCATACCTCTGTGCTCCCCACTGTACTACATTAGACGATAACACACATCAGACAGGTCAAAGGTCAGAGGAACTTGGCCTCCATTCTTCGCAAAGGGTTACCGACATGTAACAAATCTCTTTCGTTTGATTACACCTTTTGGTTTTTTTTCACTCAATACAGGACCCTGGCGAATAGAATAGGGGTTAGCTTGCCTACAATTAAATACCGAAACTTCTTTACCTTTCTTGACTCACCAGTTGATGACTGGTTCCGCACTCTAATTCGCCCATCTACTTCCCCAATGGGCTAATATTTGCAGAACTGGTTTTCACTAGAAAATAGGCGGTAAAGATGTTGCGTGGTGTGCGCTCAATTTGGCTCGTCTTCGTCCATTTCGATCATCAATATGTGTTCTCGTATACACCCTTCGTCATCACTTTTTCCGGTTTTTTTGTGCAAGAATTCTGATCACACACCTCATCAGTACACGTTATCTAAAGGTGTGAAACACAGTTATTGTGCCGTAATACAATATCTAGGAAAAAAGCGAAACACCAAACATTACACAGTACCAATATAGATGAAAAACAAGTAGTATACCGCTTGATATTATATTATGCATCGGCTGTGAGTTGATGATTAGAAATGGGGGCTAAGCAGGTGGGGTGGGACACAGAAATTCACAACACTAACGTGTTGAAGCCGTCTCTTCGCCTTGTTAACAGGTGTATCCAACCAATCCTCATTACTATTACACATTAGCTGGAGGTGAGAAACCAACTTCCACTGTTGTGTCACAATGTATCCAACCAGACATGTTCACCGTCCTTCGGGCGCCAGCCCGACAGTCGGCAGACACCAATCAACAAGTTCTAAGTGGGAAGCTTCATTCTTCTTGACCAAGTCATCGCTTGGCCTCCCTTCCTCTTCTTCCATCCTCACCTCCTGCGCGCAAATAACGCACGTTTCGGGAGTCGATGTGCCAGCATGCGCAACACGTAGCCCACCCATCGTGTCCTGGTGCATGATATGACGGTTCTGAGCAGTTCACTCGCTCTTCCTGTGCCATATGCACGACACTGAACACGGGGTGTTTTCGCCGGACATAGCTGAAATGCGAAGGTAGCGATGGTTGAACCTCGACCTGATCGGCCAGGTTTCACAACCGTACAGGTAGGTTGAACGCACAGCTGCGTTGTAAACTCTTCCTTTCAAAATGAGAGTGATGTCGCGCCAGCGCCACAGGTGGCGAAGATTTACAAAGGCACCGCGTGCTTTTGCTATATGGTTGGTGATCTCATCTTATCTCCCACTGGTACTAATATAGCTGTATAAGTACTTAGCTTTCTGAGGAATTCTAGTTGCTACTCACCAAGGGTCAGCGAAGGAATGAATCTCTGTCAATCTTAGAGAAGAAATTCTCGTTTCGAGAGTGTAAGTCATAGCTCGCAATGACTAATAGACAATGCTAATTTGTTTAGTACTGCTTGGCACGTTTGTGAACTGTCACAGAAAAAGATAATAATGTCATCGTATTCCAAGTCAAGAAGTCTCTCACCTGAGAGCAGCTTCATATTTTCGAAGTCGTGTCCGATGAATGCACTTTCCATAACTTCAGCGATGGAGAAGTTAAAGTGGGAAGGTGACAACGAGTAAACTTTTCTCACACTGTTGGAGATATTGAAGGACGACAACAGTTTGCAGTAAACCCGGAACTATGTGCGTACAGCGCTCTTACGACATTTACATATCGGGCACAATTTTCCTGAATAGGCAGTCCCATTCCATGTCAGGCAGAAGTAAAAAAACCTTTTTATCCGCCAGGGTTTTGCAGTTCAAAACCTTGTTTGGGCACAGAATATATCATAGTGTCCTGATGGAGATCTCCTAATACGGACAGAACCGAGTTTTGATTTCCTTGGGCAAAAGATGAGAAGCAACTTTGATGTTAGGAAACGATTACAACTGAAATCATACCATTTAAACAAAGCATCTGATGTAGGTAAATCATTTACTATACATTGTGGTCTTCTAAAAAGATTGATGAAAGATGGGGGTATTTATTTACTTTTGTTTCAACAGCTGTACATATGAGCCGAGACAGAATGGGAGATTTCCGTGTTGTGTTTGAGATGAACATGATTGACACTTGTCAACTGGCACAGGTAGTTTGATATAACTGTACGCCAGATGTAAGCGAGTAAGAGGAAAAATGAGACAGCATTTTTTGAAGATGTTGGAAGCAAAATCGGTTAGCTTCACCGTGCTGCCTGACATGTTTACATGAGAGCAACGTGGAAGCATAGACGAATAAAAGAAAAACGAATGGTAAAAGTGAATGAAGATGGATAGATTCAGTCAGCGTTTTCTTCTCAGCTCACACTTTTTGGTATGGCTGCAAGGTAGGCGTGGCTGATTAAACAAAATATGAAGCAGTGGAGACAAAAATGGTTATCTCGATCTCAGTTTGTAAATCCTCTACAGTCCACACTTGATGGTGTGTCTGTGAGTTACGCTTTCCAGAATAAAGAAGGAAAGTGGGTCGGGTGAAAAAGAGTGAAGGGAGTTCTGGCAGCATTATATTTTTTTTCAAAACACCTCAAGAACGCTTGACCAAATGAGTGCAATGTACTTAGCATATTTCTTGTATCTTTGTTATCAACACGTCTCGGCCCTCTCTTCAAATAACATATTTTCATTGCAATTTAGTTACAACATCGTTTTTACCTATTGCACCGTCAGGCACTTTGAAACTGCTCTTTTAAACAGCGATTGTGAGTCGCGTTCACTTATTTTCATAGGGAGGCTGTTCCAGATCTCAGTGTATCTGTTTAGGAAGAATTTTCTTCAGACACGTTTCGAACACCGGGAGTTTGTTCTTGGTATTTCTAATTGCCTAACTAGATTCTATTTTGAAGTGAATATTGATCTTGGGCGCGGAAACGCGCTTACGGATCAAATCAAAGAGGAATGTTAATCCAAGCTTCATGCGTCTTAGCCACAGTGGCTCCAGTTGAGCATCTTACAACCTTCAGAGTAGTTAGGTTTAGACGAAGAGTTGAAGAGAACCTTTATGAATGACCTCTGCACGTTTTCTAGGCACATACGGTCACGTTTCCTGCTGATTGTAAAGATAATCCAACAGTACTCTAGTACAGGGCAAACGCAGGCCTTAAACAAGTGCGGTTTAAGTTCACGCATCGAAAATGATTTTAAGATAACTTTTGCGCTTCTTCGTGATCTGGCCGTTATGAATTCAACTTGTTCACCAAAATTCAAAGTGTTACAGTACCGGATGCCTAGATCTCGTATAGTCTTATTGCAGGGGCTGGGTTTACCACCAAGATAAAATGCATTCGGCGAAAGTTCGCACTTGTATGTTAACTCATTGCACTTGTCCGTTGAAAAAGACATTTGCCGGTCAGTGCACGACGATTCCAAGGCCAGTGGGTCTATGCGAACGTTTTCTAGAGTGTCTCTCAAACACCTTTTATCGAAAGTGTATAGTATTTATATATCATCCGCAAAAATATAGGTTCTCCCAAGCTTTTATTTTTTCAGTTATTTCATTGATGTACATTAGGGAGAGCAACGGACCTAACACACTTTCTTGAATCACACCACTTTTGATCTTCATTGGTGAAGACTTAGTATGTCCTATTTGTACCTGCTACGTACGATCAGATAGGTAAGATTTGAACCATGAGTGCTAGGGATCATTGATCCCGAAATTGGTTAACTTCACCAAGAGGTTGTTGTGCGGCACTCTGTCAAAGGCCTTCTGCATATCAATAAATAGAATGATGGCTGCTTTTCCATTGGCAGTGGATCTTGTCAGATGGTTTAGAAAAGATAGCTGACAAGTCTGACATGAGCGCCTTTACAAAAACCCATGTTGCGTTGGGTTTATTAAATTCAATGACAGCAACTGCATAACAGTTCTCTCTTTCACAATTCTTTCCATTATTCTCTAAATAATCAGGGTGTAGTCAATTGGACGGTATTTTTATGTCTAGTTTTCTACTATTCTTATGTCTAGGTCCTATAAAAGAGGTTGCCATTGATTCGGCAATATACCCGAATTCATAGATAGGTTAAACACGTTTAGAAGCAAGAGCGATATATCCCGGTCATTAAACTTTATTAAAGAAGTTGGTAGACTATCAGGTCCAGGATGGAACGAAGACCGTAGCCGATCAATGTGAGCTTGAATGACACCGCAATCGAAATGCACTGTGCTAAGTTTGCCAACATCAGTAGGAGCGCTAATCTTAAGTGTGCTGCTTGAGGTAGGAAACAAAGTAAAAGAGTCTTCATTCATGACGTTCCCTATTATGGTGGGGTCCCTGGTCATGGATCCGTCAGGTAGTACGATGCATGATACCGATTTAGTTTGGCTCTTCTTTCTGGCCTACAGTAGCTTGATCAAAGCTTTAAATTTATTGTCATTTATCAATACTCGCTTTTCCTCTGTTAGTAGCCTTGCGGCACGAATCGACCGCAACTGGTCAAAGAGCTTATCCTGTCTGATAAGTAAGGAGAAGTCACGAGTCTGTCTAATTTTTGAGTGAATTATTTTCAACTTACGCAGTAGGCATGCATCGCGCATAGTTTTTGTGAAAACCTTATCGGATCTCAGTACGAGTGGAGCAAGGATATGAAGACAATGTAAGTTTCATCTGTTACAACCTGTGAATCTCTGGTGAGA